CGAGGAATAAGTACTAAAAATCGAAAGGTGTGTAAAATCTTTTCGCTCTGATAATTAAAAAAATTGCCGGGGAACATTAACGAAGGTATTCGTTCATTTTCTTACTTTTTTTTTTTCCTTCACGAATGTGAAATATATAAAGCTGTTCGATCGGCGAGAAAACGCACGTTTTCATTACACATTACCACGGATATTTTTACTACGTAAATATCCATGCGCATGACAATCGAGCGAAACGGCCCAGAATTTACACGGATCTTCTTCGGTGTCAGCGAACCGGTTACACATACTGGTTCCGATAAAGTGAAACATGTTAAAGAGAAAAAAAAAAGACTGCATTTCTCTCGACCGTCATGACCAACTATAAAATAACGCTTTTTTTTTTCCTTACGAATAATATCCCCTGTAACACTTCGTTATTCTTTTTTTTTTCCGCTTTTTTTTTATGTATACCGAATACGCGCGTTCGGTACGAGAATAAGGTAAGAAGTCCATGTGTCTCACGTGATCCGGCCGATGTCTAACGTCGAGGAAAAGTAACTATATCACAGATGAAGGAGAAGAATCGAAGAAGCAGCAACGGCAACGGGGTTTCTACCAAATCTTAGCAGCGAGGGCTCTCTGCATTAATACATTCTTGCTTCGCTGCTTCATGCGCTCAATGAAGTACTCCTTGCCTTCCAGGTTATCGTCGCCAGGTCCAACCTCCTCATTCTAGCAACAAACGAGAGTTAGTTGGCTCCTAGGTCGTGTGTTTCTTGCACGTGTGGCTCATCACCATCATCATCATCCTCATCATCCTCATCATTTTTACTCCTCATATTATCATCATCATCATCATCATCATCATTATCATCATCATCATCATCATCCGGATTATCATGATCGTCATCACGAAGATAGGCTGTTCTTTCGCGAAAGCCTACACAGAAGAGACCTAACCAACCTTGTTAGCTGTGTCGCCCCCCTCGCCCTCTCCCCACCTCTCGTAGTCATCGTCGTCCCTCTCTTCACCCTCGCTTAAAGGTCCATCTTGCCTTTTACTCGGAGGAACGTTCGAACCTCCGCCACCCTGTTGATGCTCCATCACGTCGTCCCCTCCCTCCAACATCTTGTTGATCTTCTCCTTCGCCTCATCCACCTTCCTCATTGGGTCAGGGGAATAGCTACGGTCGCTGTATCGATCGCGAGACGCGGCGCGACGGTCCCTGAAGTCCCGTCGGTCGCGGAAATCGCGGAACCCCTGTTTACCGTGGAAGAACCTACCGCCACGGTTACCACCACGTCCGCGTCCGCCGCCGCGATTATTGAAACCACCGCCACGTCTATTACCGAAGCGATTATTGTGTTGATTGTTATAGAATCGATTACGATTTTGGAAATTGTTACCACCGCCACGATGGTTAGGATTATTGAAGCCCTGGAAACGTGGCTTGTAATAAGTGCCGCGGTTGTTGTACGGTCTGAATTGCCTCTTCCGGTAATAACTTCTGTCACCTGATCTGCTACGACTGCGACTCCTCGTGTAAGATCTGGATCGTGACCTGGATCGTGACCTGCTGTAGGTACCTGACGGTGATCGACTGTATTTCCTCTCGTAACTACCGGATCTTCTGTTCGAATACGATCGCGAACGACTTCTTCTCGGTGAACGAGACCTCGAAGAGCCTGAACTGGATGCACTGCGCGATCTGCTGCGCGAACGTTTCGCTGGACGGTCTCTACTCATTCTCTTAGTCACGGCTCCACCTCTGCCGGTCGATTCCCGTTTCTTCGGTGTCTGTCTGTGCTGTCTTTCTGTCTCGCTGTCGGAATCTGTTCTTGGACCCTTCGCCTGGTTTTGGTTCTTCGTTGGTGGAGGTGGTCGCGGTGGTTCTGGTGGATGACCAGCACCACTGTTACCACTTTGCCCGATAGGCTGAAACTTGCCACCGAGATTGTTACTCGAGCTGAATTTGGTCGGTGTTGCCTGTGGCGCGGATAGCGACGGGTCCTTGTACGACTGGAATTTGTTCTGTGGTTGTGGCGTCGGATATTTCACCGGTGCCTGTTTCGGCATCGGTGGTTCTTTAGGTAATGGCGGTGGAGTGGGTGCAGACATGGGTTGGGCGGCTGCTGCTCTCTTTTCCGCGAGCTCGCGTTGCATCTGCTTCCGGATATTCATAGACTTTTCTAATGCTGCACGCTGCAGCTTTTCCTCCAGCTCGTTATCATCGTCCTCGTCACTGTCTACGTTGGGTTGCATCTTCTTGCTTTCCGGAGGGACGTCTTGCCATTTTTGCGGAAGAACATCCTTTTGCCTGAACAAATAACATTAACAACGTCCAAATACGTAGCGACATTTCACGGAATTGGTCAAATCTGATATTACTATAGAACATTTTGCTTACCTAGCGGCTTGTGCAGCTTTCCATTTCGCGTTTAACGCAGCCGTGTCGAGGGTAGGTAATTTTGGTTCGGGGTGAATCAGTTGCGACTCTTGCTCGAATATGTCCGTCAGAGGTTTCCTTTGAATTTCTAGTGAAAAACCACAATTGACTGGAATTAAATCATAGGCAAAAAAATCTAAGTACTTTCTGTCCCCCCTGGTTTTAATACTTACCTTTGCGTTGCTGTGCGGTCATTGGTACTCTAGTTTCTCGTTCGTGATATGCCTTTGAAGCTTCATCTCTCTCCCTTTCCCTCTCTCTGCGCAGCTCTTCCTCCCTTCGTGAACTCTCAGCGAGCTTCTCCGCGTTGCTAAGAGGGGAAGCTATGTCATTATACTGAGCTACATACCTAGTAAATATAAAAACATAAATAAAATACGGTAGGTTATAAAACCGCGTTTCCATTCATGTATCTTTAAGAATTAGACTAACCACGGAAAAGTAGCTAGAGAAACACAAATTAAAATGCAACACCGAAAATAATACCTGCGCACTATAACCATAAAACATCGAGTACACAAACAAAATGTTTTGTGAAAATAAACGAGAAAAAACGGAAAATGTCGGAAACTGGCCATAAAGGTTCAAACCTTTTTAAGACAGCGGTTTCTTTCTCAACTTTCGCATAATACGCATTCAGTTTTGACTCCAACTGTTCTAAATCCGGTAATGAAGATTTTTTCAAAGCTTCTAAATCCCGTTCGAGCTTATCCTTGTTCTTCCGCTTCTTTCTCTCCTCTTTCTTCTTCTTCTTTCGGCTTTTCTTGTCCTCCTTCTCCTTGTCCTTTCCCTTTTTTTCTTTCTTCTTTTTTTTCTTCATTTTCTCACTCTCTGAATGTTTCTTTTCCTTCTCCCTCTCGCGCTTCCATCTAGCTGTTTCTTCTAAGAATTTCCTTACCTAACAATACCGACAAAAAATCGTAACACTTCAACTACAATGAACCCACAAACGATAAGAAAAACTTCCATGTGGAAAAAATCCGAATTCTTACCTTATCTTCGTAATCAGAGTCGTCTTTTGTCTGTTCAAGAAATTTGCGGACCTTTGTCTCATAATCGTCCATCTTATCTCTGGTATTTGACGTGTAGGCTACCGGAGCGATTACGTCATGTGCAGCTGTCGTGGCAGCAGGTGGATTGTTGTACTGAGCCATTCGCTTGCTAAGTGGTGAAAGCGAGCCGCGATGATCTTTCTTATGCTTCCGTTTACGACTAGGTGACCGGGATGCTGATCTTGAGCTCGCGGAAGACGAAGAACTGCTAGACTCTGAACTGGAGGAACTCGAGGATCCGCTCGACGACGAACTGGAACTCGAACTCCACCTTTGCCTTTTCTTTGATCGCGATTTTCTTTCTTTCTTGCGTTTCTTCTTCTCCTTTTTATTCTCACCCACGTCATTCTCAGCCTCGAAGCTCTTGAACGTGTCCAACGGATTCAAAGAGGATGTCAATGTTTTCGACTTGATGTACTCGATGGAGTTTCTAGCCTCCTCGTGGAATGGGGCAATCGCCAGGCAGTTCTCGTACGCTTTCTGCGCGTCCTCGTATTTCTTTTCGTCCTCGTAACTTCGACCTAGAGCAACCAAAGTCTCGGCCATGTATTTTCGAGCGTTTGTGTGTGTTTGATTCAGCTTCAATGCCGTCTCAAAATCATCGATCGCCTTCTTAAAACTGCCGCTATTTGCGTATCTGTAACAGTAAAAATGTACACACGTAAAGTAAGTGTAATTCAGAATGACGTGCATATCGTGTACGAAGACGTAAGTGGTGAGACTTACAATGCTCCACGCGCTACTAATCCCTCGACGTTTCGCGGGTCTACGGTAAGTGCTTTATTGAGACACTGGAAGGCTTCTGTGTGACGGCCAGCCTTGAAATGGTCAATACCTTCAGCCACGCTACGGAACGCCCACTTACTAGCTTGCGCCTGTCTTAATTCCGATGCATACTCATTAGGTGGGAATCTTTCTCTATAACGAAATAATTTCGAGATCACGTTGAAAAATAATGTAACCGATATCTAATGAAATATAATACACGGGAGATAATCTTGAGATATTTTACCTCAAACCAACCATATTGGAATGGTTATCTTGACCGAGACCCATCAAGTCGCAAAGATATTTAATGTTGTTCGGGTTGTTGAAGCCAGTACTATTCTCCAACATCGCTTCGTATGACTGTCCTTTGTTGTCCATTGCTTTCCTACACCACAAAGAGAGATGACCAATTATCGAGGTGCAAAGATCATTTGGACCTTTTGCCAAAAAGAGGATACCAAAGCTACTTCGTTAACGGTAAAACTAAAGACTTGATAATCATGACGACCGAATATTCGCATGTCCTGGTTGCAATATCCTGGCGGAGGTTTTATTTTTTGATATGATCGTGTTTTCCCTTTAGTTTAGTTTTTTTTTTTTTGTTTTGTTTTTTGTTCGACGTCTCGTCGTCTTAATCTATATGTTCATGCATATTTTAGATATGCACGTCCTTTTGTGCTGCTATTCCTTGCACGCGCATAACGTGCGACACACCACACCCTTCATCGGTTTGTTCATCCCTGCGTGTAACGATTCGCCTCTTCCCTTCGATCTACATGAATTATTCAACGATACGACACTAATGCCAAAGATGCTTCAGAGGGAAAGGAAGAAAAGTTTCTTCCATTTTTAGAGAGAAAGAGATTTGTGTAGACACCTCGTGGTATTAGAGTCGATCAAAATCTACGTTTGTACCGTTAACAAGCAGCAGGGGTCCGAAACGGGGATACATTGCAGAAAGTTTGGTAAGTTTCCTTTATTACCAGATAATTTCTTATTTATAAATTTACAATGGTACACAACCTCATTATTATGTAAACTCGTCTCTCACCTTTCATGTACCGCTAAGACGTATATTTCTAGTATTTTGTATCATGTTTGTAATCAGAGGATTTCTCAACACAAAAGCACACAGCCTATCATCAATCGACGGTGGTTTGGTTTTTATAAGTTTTTTTGGTGCGATAAAATAAATTGCATAGCCCTAGGATAGGTTGGGAGCCACGCCTGAGTATATTTTATCTTCCAAGTTGACCAAAAAAATTTTTTTTTATATGTAGTAGTACTGTCGCCTGTTTTTGCATTTTGTGGTGTCAATTCAAACATGACATCATTTTTTTTTTATTTTTTATTTGTCAATTTAAGCTGTAAGTTTAAATGATGCATTATTATGACAAGGCGCGATTCTTTTGAGGCTTAAAGGTAAAGGTTTCGGGCGATTAAGATTTTAGTTATTTGGTCTCTGCTTTAACTTCATGAGAAACTCCATAAAGTCTTACGCCATTTCGTTAAAATGTTAATACGTACGAGAAATACATCGAGAGCGCGCGTTGACAAATCATGCACTTTAGCTGCTCGTTAAATTCTAGTAAAAATTTCTTCAGCATATATGTATAAAAATATTTTATCGGTGCATTAAAAAATTAGTTCTTTTTTATTTATACTTAAATATTCTAATATACGCTTATAATAAGAGACCAAACAACAGTAAATCGTTATTATACCTACCGTCTGCAGCACTCACTCTGACCACCCAAGGCTCAACATCTCATACTGGAAATGCAACCTCAAAAGACATTGATGTCATTTGGCGCCATTGTTTGGCTGGTGCTTTGAGAGTAACATATCACAAACGTAGATAGAATATTGTGCGCAACAGAGCCATGTCAACCAATGCTCAAGGTTTGAATCATTTGTATCACATTATAAATTCATCATCATACTGACTATCAACTTTTTACGTTACTGAGAGTGTCTGGCACCTAAATTCATAAAAACGTGTAAGAGGAATCAAATCTAATTTACCTTGTTTTGTTAGTATCACAGTGCGTCTGTTAAATCTCAACTTCTTTTGGCCACCATACCATTTTTCCTTACCTTCTTTCTTTCTTTCTTTTTTTTTTCTTTTTTTTTTTTTTTTTTTTTTTTTTTTTTTTTTTTTTTTTTTTTTTTTTTACGAAAAATATTAAACAAAACACTAAAGATGCAAATCTGTACTCTCACTTATTATGCAAGTTACAAACAAGATAACTACACTGTCGATAGAAGATGCATTTCGATCACGATCGAGATTGTTATATCGATCCTATATTCGAAACTACCACTGACAGAAAAAATTCCCCCTGCCTTCTGTTAGTGCACAAGTGCTCTCAAAGTATGTCGCAATAAGCAAATGTTCAAAGAACGACTTATATTTCAAAATAAAAATTTTGAGTCAAAAGTGCTACTGATGCATCACAAGACACTTTTTACCGTTTTATATCGTGTATAGAAAATTTCCTATAGTGATATACATGTCAGTTTACAAGAGTTAGTGAAGCATTATTATAAATACAAGGAGTACATGTACTTATCCACATCTTTCATTACTTACTTATAAGCTTCTGGAAGATCGTCAGAATGGATAAGTCCCATAGGTGGGTGCGGTGCTTGCCCTTCACGGGCAGGTACGTTCATAACTGCAACAACTCGTTCAGCTTCAACGTTAACTTCACTGACTACGACGCAGATGAGATCATTTGCCATGTAGCCTCTTGTTACACCTTTCTTGTCCACCGCCGGCACTGTGGCCGTGTTCAATATTAGAGCCTGATAATTGAACAAGAATGCATTAGAAACTGATGAATGAACAAAGATACGAATTGATTAGGTATAGATAATAACTATGTACCTTAACTCCTAAATCAGTAACAACTCTAGGGCAGTCGCTGCAGTTGCATAGCACCTTCAGAAGAAGCCCAGCAGCACTTTTACCCATCACTTGCGCGTAAATAACATCTCCAACGACCAAACTCTGTACGCAAAAAATTTTTTATTACAATTTATCGATTATATTATATATATATTTTATCGTAATTCGTTAAAAAAGGAGTAGTAATCACCTCCAAAAAATTCCGAATACGCTGAGATTTCTCCATGGTGACAAAAGTATCAAGGCCTGGCATTGTTGCATAAAATTCTGCAATGAGACATACATGATATAGACAATTGCAGACTATTGTGCAACATATGATTAGTCATAGTGATATAATGGGAAATGAAACTCTACCTTCATCTCCTAATTCCTGCTTGATAGGATCTACTGTTTTCTCCAGATTTGACTTATCATAAAGGGCATCTGCCTTTTTTGCAAGGAATTGTTGTAGCTTTAGCCTTTTCCCTCTATCGCCAAAGCTGTTGAAAATGGAACAAAAGTTTGAATACATACTATGTTTAAAAATGCCTGAGAATACAATCAATGGAGATTACAACTACATACCTTAGAGTCTTTTGACGCTGCTGATAGATTTCAAAATTTGGTTCCTTGAGATTGAGCATGGCCAGCTCGTTCTCGTTGCGTTCTCCCTCCCACACTTTCTGCAACTGTTGGCCATGGTAGTTCAATGCTTGCGCCACAAGACGCGCATCCATTGATTCCATTTTGATTCAGTACTGCAAGCAACCTACTCCTGCAATACTATGAAAATCGGCGGATTCGTAATGCTTTCCCTTTTTTCCTCAATATCCAAGATATTTATCCAAATATAGATAAAATTTTAATAGCTGCCTCTGACCGACTGCCCGAAATTGGCATGCAAAAAAGGACATCATCCAACAGCCAAGGACACGTGTTTGTAACTGATAAACCGCTCTCCACGGTGATATCCAGAAAATTCTGGTATTGTAATCATCTAAGGATCGGTCGAATCGCTAGCGGTAAAAAACGTATCGGTTTCGTACGGTTTCGTGAACCGCAAATATTATCTCCAAAAGGGAATGGTATTGTAGCGCAAGAACGCGCTTAGACACAAAGCGAATTACCAAGAACCGGTTCCCTGAACAATTTACCTGTAGCTGTTGATATTCCTCTGGCGAATCGTAATAACGGCGTAACAGAATAAATCTGTAGAATATTCGTTTACTCAAGAAAAACGCTTACATAGTAGGAAAGGCGCGTTATATTGATTTATCGATAACAAGATGGTCGTCGGGAAGCCGGATTGCGAAGGCTGATGGCGCCATGACGCTCCCAAATGGCCACCTCTTTTATTCCAACGCTCATCCACGCCCATTTTTTGCATGGGCATGCCAGACTGGCCAAAAAAGAACCCGGATTATTACTCACCGTTGCTCCCTTATTATCTTCCGACGATTTGTTAACGTGTTTTCCAACTATATCACGGCCCACTACGTAACATCGTCGACGATTAAACAACTGCGCGCCTGTATTTCACCATACGCTGCACAAGTCTCGATTACGACAAAGCCGGAAACGATAGAGTCGGAAACGCTTGCGTAAATCGCTTTTTCCCCCCACCATTTTACAAGTATCGTACTATATAACACTTCCGGTTTGGCGGTTAATTTAAAACTGAGCATTTCAATGGACGAGAAAATTTGAATTTTTGTAAAAAAAAAAAAAGAAAAAAGAACTACGTTACGAGATTCGTATTAAATTGAAAATTTTCATAAATAATGAGGAATGCGATTTTTATAGTATTTTTATTTTTAAACTTTTTACAATAAAAAAATGATAACATGGAGGGATGACTGTTATTTATCATAAATTTAAAACAATAATTTGTCATTTGATGGAGTTTTACAAGTAATGAGATGTCTAGGATGTACTTTCTATATGAAAGTAAATATTACACCTATCTAATACTCTCAACATTAGACTGTTAGTTCGATTCATACATGCTTTAATTTATTACGTTATTTTTGATTTCATTATTATCAAATACAAAACATTCTCTTAATTTACTCATTGAGCTTTCTTTGCCTTCTCTTTGACCTGTGTAACCACATTCCAGTAATACAAAATTTGAGCAGCTATTACAGCATTTGCAGCAGTAGAGCATATATACATAATTATCATTGTCATGTCTCCGGTTTCTTGAATAGATGTGAATATTCTAGCCAGAGATCCAAAGAAAAGCATAAAACCAGTTGCTGCTGATAGCTGACCAGTACTTCCATTTGTGTAATTTGTGTAGGCTTGTATCAACTAAAAATAGTATGAAATTATAAGTCTTTGCTATATTCATATATATCACATAATGCTCCAGTTTTTGATAGCATACCTTACTAGTAAGAACAATGGGTATATTCATTGCTTGACAAGCCCATAGAATCTTCACCGAGGTCAGCCCACTCGTGGCAGCAAATACTACTGCTAAATAAGCACCAAGGAATGCAGTTGCTTGTACAGTATTACCACTGAAATGCATTACTAAAACTGCAATTGCTAAAGTTTGGATTCCTAAGAACACTCCATCTCCCCATGAACTGCAAAACATTCATTAACTCGTTCATCAATCATCGGTGTACATATGAAATTCAATAACTGTGGTGTTTTTTACATTGTATTACCTGAATGGAAAACCGCTAATGAAACTGTAAGATACCATTGCAGTAATGGCAAACAGATCTAATAACACACTGAGAACATTGATGCCTTCTGCACTTTTACTTTTAAGGATTTTTACAATCTGTGGGACTTTGACTAGAATAAAAACATTAATATAAGAGAAATAATGTTGCATCTGAAGTCAGTCTTGTAGATTTTTACCAAGAAAAAATTATTCTGAATAGTGTTTGAAATTACAAGGAATGGGCAGCCTTGTTCAGATAAGGTAGTTACGCAGGTAAAGTGGTTAATTACAAAGGTTACTTAAAAATAAACTGTCTAACCGAGGAGAGATCCGCCGATAATGCCGAGGCCCAAGACTTTGCTCAGAGTCGCTTTGAAACATCCAACTGAAACATGTTCGAGATTTTCATGCTTTACTTGAATAGGTTCATATCTTCTTCTTAAAAAATTCATTTTGGTTTTCATAGGAATCGTTAATTTTTATCGCCACGAAAGAATAATGACTTCGAATTTGTCGTCGTAGAAAAAGAAAACAATTGAATATCATCGAGAGATCGTTACGACTATTCTAAAATTCGACTGTTCGAAAATTGTATCTTTTATTTCGCATAATTGTACAAAACAACGGGAAATAAAATTAAACGAAACCTTCGAAAAGTACAAGAAAATGAAATTACGTTTGAGACGCCATTGTTTCCGCGTAACTTTTATTCGTACGTAATCCAATAAATTAGCATAACTGCGCACGTATTCATAAATTCACAAGAGTCGTTATATTCGACGTACGCTGTACGTAAGAATGAATTAAAAATTAAATAAACTGTAATACACAAAATAAAAGGTTCTCTCAGGTCAAACTTTAATTGTTCAATTTTTCGAATACTACGCTCATGGTGTTCACGTGGTTCTAACACAATGACGCCATACTTGTACAATTAATTTTATCACAAATTGACAGTTTAAAATGATCAAATATCAATTGTTCATCAATGAAACTCGTATACTAACCGTGAAAAAAATTGAAGTCATCGAAATATTCCTCCATGCAATCTTCCGTGAACACTAATAAACCTAAACTCTTTATTAACCGAGCCATATTTGCCACGCATACGTTTCACACTCGCTACCTCGTGGAATGTAAAGAACGATTACGTTTTACTACCGCTTTAACGTTTAGGTTAGCACATAGTCCAGTTTGCTGCACTAAAACTTTAATACCGACTGATAAATCGTCGCATCATTCTTCGATCCATTCTATGGCGGGTCATTTTAAACTGCTACTACTCGCTTTCTCCTATAAATAAACATATCTTTCATCTACCCCTTTTAAAATCACTTTCTCTCTCATTTTCTCCCATCATTGTTACAACACGATACACCAATAGAATCATGTTTCAACAACTATGCGTCATTATTGTTACGAAATAATCATTTATCAATCGTGAAACTCGAAGAAAATGAACTTTTCTGAAGGAAACAACTCGAGCAACTTCATTTCCTGCTATTTTCAACTACTTCCTGTCACCGACAGTGACATGTTTATTCCCCCGATCATTCCATTCGGAGTTCCTCTGTATTTCACACACTTTTCAATATTCCAGTAACAAATCCTCAAGCATCTTTATGAATCACACCGTTATCATACACCTGCGAATGCAGTCGTACATCTATGATTTCCCAGAAAATATATCGCACCGTGTCTAATGGTAAGTGTAATAAAAAGAAGAGAAAAAGAACCTATGATACAAGGATGAGAGAAAGTGTCCACGTAATCGATCGACGCGACTCCGCCAACAAACCCGCTATCTCGTAGGCAGTATAATTGTTCGCTGTTGCCGTTATCACACGCGACGATCGAGCCAAGGCAGGAAGGGACCGATAACGAAAGCGCGTAAGGGTCGACCGAATTTCCAAAATTAGCCGGACCTGCTGTATTCTCGTCTTGCCGGGGATTATCTAGCGTGAAAATCGAACTGGTTGCAATTAGCGATAGCAGGTCGAAGTGATTCGTTGGGTCGCCTCTGCTTCACGCGAGCCCAAAAGATGCGCTCGCGTATTAAGTGGGTCAGCGGTTGCGGAACGGGAGTGGTTAGGCCAACCCACGCGATCGCTTTTGCTTCTTTACCTGCATTCGGTGCTCGTCAAGTTCCGCTCCGGGTGCCTGGTACGCTCCTCCTATTTTAACAACCGCCCTTTATCGCTGTTTTTGCCCTCTTTGAGATTCCGTTACGCGACCTACACCTGTCCATTAGCAGGTAGCTCGACATTTTTACCAAGTTTCGCCGCTCGAACGAGGCGTTTGGCTAACGGTAATTGGTTAAGTAGCGAAAGGGTTGATTTTATCTCGATTTATCCGAGAGACGTTCGAGGGTAGAATTATTTGACCTCTGACGAAGCTGAACGGTCAATCTTTAAGGGGCAGCTGTTATATGGTACTGAGGAATCTTGTAATGCGACGTGCAATTATGGTTTCTGGGGGACGTCATGCGATCTTATCCAATCCGCCGAATAGTTGGGGCGGTTTAAAACGCTTTCAGGGCGCACGCCTACGGAATTCTAGATTCTGAACACATACCTCGTGTCTTTCGTCGATCACGTTCAGTTGGAGTTTTGCTTTCGTACCTCGCCGATTCGTTATTTACCCGAGAGAAAATACGGATTTTCCATCAGCTCGAGGGACGTCGTTATCATGAAATATCGAGGAAATTCTTCCTCGAAGCGGTTTACATTTAACGGATAATTCATCGTTAAAAGTTGAATTTCATTTGCATGAATTAAGGGGGAAAAACGAACGTTGATGGAACGTCGAAGATTCAACAGGTACACCCGGATCAGTTGCAATTAGTACGCGCAGGTTATTAACGTAGTTTCTCCTCGATTTTCCGGCTATTTTCAAGCTGATCCAGGATAGAATAACGTCGACCTGTTCGGGCCAGTCTTTTCTCCATCAAGACCCGTTGCAATGAAGCGAAATTAAAGATCAGCGGTGTGCATCGGTGCAGAAGAACTCGAGAGGATTTGCAAGAACGCTACATGAAAGCTCACGATGAGGCGCCGTCGAATCTGGAGTCGACCAGCGCGCATAAAGCGGACAAGAATGAAGATGACGTCGTTGATGACGATACAAACGACAAACCGACCACTGATACCGATACAGTAGATACCAAAGTAGTCCAAGGTACCGTTTACAACTTACTCTTCGCCCAACACCCACTCACAACCATCGCACAAATTTTTCTACCGCACAGAAACAAGCGAGCCGAGCTTAGAATTGCCCCCGACGCTTCACGAGAGATTCATGAGGATCAAACAGTTAGTCAAAGATGCTGTAGCGAATCATCGCACGTTCATGATTTACGGTCGAACTCGAGTGATTCGCGAAAGCATGCTGAAGAGAGGCTGGTGCGAGAAATTCTTCAGAAAAACTTCCACCGGTACATCGATAATTTTACAATCATCCAAAAGTCCTGCAAATCACTCGTACCATTGTTTCTAGCCGATTTCCTTTCAGCCGACCAACACTTCACCGTCGAAGCAAGCCCCGTGGTACTCTTAGGTGGCATTGGCGACCTAAAGGACCAACAAAGCGAACGCCAATTAATCTCCAGAATGTTAACGAACCACACGGTAGATTTCCTATGGAACACCGGCTCGGAATGGCCAGGTTGGCCGTCGCAGGACAACAAAGGGACGATTTTCAACAGATACTGCCGCGCTGGATTTACGTCGAAGGTACCTCAAGTCGGTGATTTCTCTCAGGCATGTCAGCCGCGTATCGAACGTGGATAATGTATGCTTCTAAGAAAATCGATCGCCTTAGGTGGGCTTATGTTCGAACGTCAGGCAAATGCACTGGTATTACGAAGCTGGAGTGGCCAACACACTTTTTCCACGTTGCTACAACCTGTGCCAGGGCGATCAGATGCACGCTTTCATCGAAGACTTCCGGTGAATCGCGCTATTCTACCCACGAATCCCTTCAATTTATATTTTCTTTCTTAATCTACGGAGTTCCCTTAGATTCACCGCTTGCTTGGGCCTGTTGAAATGGCTGGTGACCAAGATCACCACGGAGGGTGAGAACGCGGTCAGATCGCCGACTGGCACAGTGCCTGTGAAGGCGTTAGAGTTCGCGATTAAGCGTTGCAGCGATTACATTAGCGCTCAATCGCACGAAGATATCGATCAGGAGGCGGAGAGGGTTTGGGCTCATCAGTGGGATCAGTTTATCGGCTGGTACTATCAGATCGTTCACGGTCAGGCACTTTTCATTCGAAACAACGTGCCCTTTCAAGTAAGAGGACCGCGACTCGGGATTGAACCGTAGGCGAGAAACTTCAGGAGGACTGTATTAATTTAGCGTCTGGTGTGAACAGAAATTCTTCCTCGCGGCGAAGCATATCTCGAAGAAGATGAAGAAATACTGGCCGCAGATCGACATGGACGGAGTGATGAACGTGTGGATCATGAAACCGGGGAACAAGAGCCGCGGTCGAGGGATAGTTCTCTTGAACAAACTGGAGGACGTGATGGCGAAGATGAATCCTTCGAATAAATCTGACACTCGTTACGTCGTGCAAAAGTATATCGGTAATCGATAGAATTTTTAGGAATTTTAATCGATGCGTTGAAATAGGAACAAAGGATGTTTCATCATTTCTCCTCTTGTAGAACGACCGTTGTTAGTATACAGCACGAAATTCGACATCAGACAGTGGTTCATCATTACCTGCGCTCAGCCCCTAACTCTCTGGATATACAAGTAAATGTTCCACAGCGTAATCGAATAGGCACACGCATACAGAAATCGAACCAATCGTACCGCCGTAATCTCGTGCTCGCGAGTATCCGGGTCGTTTAATTGTTGTGCAATTATCGCGAATGCATATCCGGAATAGTTTACCATTGCAATAAAAGATGCCACACGCTTTTCTCCTATATTTAGACCGGCAATTGTACGCGATTACACAGTTATGAATTCACCTATGAAATTGATCCCCCCCCTAACCCAGTTTCCTCGGGTAAACCTCTGTCCTATTATTATCCGATACTTTTCGCGTGCAATTTCATACGAGAATGTCTGTATGTTCTCTAGGGAAAGCTATCTGAGGTTCTGCTCTCAGAAATTCAGTCTCACGGACTTCCACGAGTCGATTCATCTGTGCAATCACGCGATCCAGTGCAAGTACACGAACTGCGGCGATAGGGATCCAGCTTTGCCCTCGGATAATATGTGGGATGCCACGACCTTCAAGGAGTTTCTCAAGTATGCTTGCACCTCGATCGAATCACCATTCCGCAAGTTGCAAAGTAGCGATTGACGAAACTTCAACAGGTCTCAGGGAAACGAGAAAGCATGGGACGACATCGTCTATCCTGGAATGAAGCAAGGGTTGGTCGGTTCGTTGTTAGCTAGTCAGGAAGCTATGGATCGTCGAAAGAACAGCTTCGAGCTTTACGGGGCTGATTTCATGGTCATGGAGGATTTTTCGGTGTGGTTGATAGAGATCAACAGCCATCCTGACATGAGTTACTCTAGTAGAGTTACGACGCGTCTTTGCAGACAAGTCTTGGAGGACACCGTAAAAGGTGTTGCAAGCTTTTCCTGTTATTCTCGCTTTTTACACTTTTCGATTCATTCCTTTTTTTTTTTATCGCTTATGGATTTCTACAGTTGTCATAGATTATCGAGAAGATAAAAACGCGGACACGGGGCATTTCGAG